AGTTGTAGAAATTATGTAATTTTCGTACTGGTGTTAGTGTTATTATAAGTGAGTAACATTAATACAAAAATTATCTAACTTCTACGGTTTTGATAAGGAATATCACTCTGTCAAATTACATGACAATACTCGTGATATAGCAGAATACTACTTGTACTAATGCTCTAACACTTTTATGGTGACGTTGCAGAAACTTCTTTATTTTGCATACTGTCCTTGCTCCACCATTGTTAACGTATTTTCTTACAGATGGGTGTACTACACAATGGGTATTTGCAAATGGTACTACGTATGGTTGTTTAAAAGGAGATTGTAATTTATTGATTGAAAAAGAAATACGAAGAAAGTCTCCGTTCATTGGCGTCCCTGCGTACGTAGTATGTACGTATGCACAAGTACAAGTAAATATAAATGTTTTAGTTATTACATAAATTAGTACGAAATAAAACTCCACAAACACATTCATTATTGAGGAACAGACAAAAGAAGTACTCGAGAGAAAATGACTGCGACGAATACTATAGGATGACAAACGCTTGCTATATTATATCATCATAATCAAGCAATAGGACGATAGTTATAAATTAATCTCCCCAAATTGTATAGTTTCAGTTAGTGATAGCAATATGGAGGTTGCAAAAATTTCAATATCCATTTTATCCTCGCAATAAATGCGGGTTAGGTCAGGTAATACACGCGTAGGCACGGACCAAGACTGTTTGTTGAAGAAAAAGAATGCCATATTTAACTCTTTTCATAACACCATTTTTTTATTAATAAATCGGAGAGTTCTTACAATTCATTTGTAGTTGTGAAATAAAAAATGGATGGACGATCGATCCCTTCTTCCTGTGTATTCCAACGACAAGTCGTATGGGCCATAATGTTAGTTGCTTTTTTTGTTGATCTTTTGGCAAAAGATCGCAAAAAAATGGCCCATCCTCCTTCCTCCTAAATTTCTCTACATATGCATCTCACTTCAGTCCATTGTCCCTTCGCCTTCTCCAAACCCGAGATCAAAGTTTTGCAGTATGTCTTCGTCACTTCCAATCCAAGCGGGAAAGTCCTTGCCTTTGAAACCTCTGGTGTGAATTCTCTCATGATCTCCCTCTTTGCCATCTCCAATCTAAATTCCATGCCATCATCTCTTACCACCACTGCATATTCCATTCCCTGGTTCTCGAACGTGTCAACATTTATCTTCCAAGTTCCTCCTGACGGTCTATTTCAGGTGATTGGTTTCAGATATCTCTCTTCTTGTTTTCCTTGCTTGCTTGTGAATTCGTAAACCTCCGCCTTTTTTTTCTTAAAGAGATGATTGTTGCATACATTCCATATTGATCACTAGATTGTTGTGAATGGAGAGACACACTCATCATTCTCTTTCTTCGTGACCACACTAAGCGAAGATCCACATGATAAACCCTCGCCGATTTTAATGATTTTTACGAAATACTCCTCCAGATTCGGCTAACCAGTGGCAACCTCGAAAGCTATGTTCTTAGCTTTCATATAGATCACTGTTTGGGCACCTTGTCCCCGCTTCCTTCTTCCTTTTGGCGATATTCACTCCGGTTGGAAGTATGACTTTACTCCTGCTCCATAGAAATGTATTTATCTTTGGGGTAGGTTTAGGTTCCGTAATATTTTTCCACCATCAGGTTATACACCTTCCCTTCTTCTTCCTCCCCATATGAGCTAATAGCCTAATATCCTGTTAATCTACTTTTTGCACCAAATAGTGGTAACCCAATTTCACAGAGTAATTCCTAGAATTGTCAAGTCCCCAAACTTGTTTACCGGGACACGGTTGTCTGGGTACCGGGATACTAAAAATTTATTTATGTCGGTTGGATTAAAGTTTTGTTGTAGCACATTATATTTCCAACTAGTGACTTTAATAAAAGCAAACATTTCCTTCTTTGATCTTTCTAGCTCATTTGGGAGCCCTATATACTTTTCATGCTTCTCCACCTGTTTCATCTTAAGTATCTCCACCAGATCTCTTCCCTTTTCCTCATCTACAATTGGATTAAATGAAACCTCCTATTTTTGTAGGTTTACTTTTTGTCCAGTGGCCCACTTGCTTCCCGTGAGTTAGCTCCTACAATGAAGATGTTATCATCGGCGACTCGCTATGACACAACTCCTCACAATGGCCAAGTGTAACCAATGAAAGGGACTGCAGTATAGTGGCTCAAGTAATAAATATCGAATCCACGGGTCTCTAGAATTACTATTACTCAGCTTCAGTTTATTATTTAGCAAACCAGATTAATAAGGAAGAACTAAAACTACTCTAACAAACTACAGTTAAAGTTAATCTAATTACAGGTTGGGAACTCACTTAGGTATGATTCCCCCTAGCCACTAGCCAGATTAATGATTGATGATCTCTAACCTGTTTCACTTTCATTCACAATGCGGAGAATCCTTGACTAGACCTTAAGTCTCGACTAAAGGAACAAGGCCCTCTTGAGTCAATTTACTAGAGGGACGTATCCTTCTCTAGAACAACCGATCAAGGCGTTCTGAACTAGAATCCCTCTATCGAAAGAGGTTCTCAATCGATACAAAGCAGTGAATCAACCCTCGACTAAAGCAATCAATCCACTACTATCAATCTATGGTGCTCTATTGACCTAATCAGGTATTCGCTCTCATAGGATCAAAGCAAAATCAATAATCTCGACTAAAGTAGAATTGAATCATGAAAACATGCATAGATTGAATATGAACTCAAGATTATCAAGTAAGAGTAATCAACAATCATCCAATCAAACAAACATATCTAGGGTTCCTCAAAACCTAAGTGAAGGGAAGTTACTCCATAGAGAAGAGAGAGACTATAGAAATCTGATCTAGATCTTCAATCTCCATCTCCAAGCTTGATTCCCGAGCTCCAATGATGAAGAAATCTTCCAAAAAAGCTCCAAGAATTCCCCCAAGTCGCTCTCTCTCTCTAGGGTTCGTCCCTTGGGTGTTTTGGATCCAAAACCCAGCTCTCCCTTTCCTTTGGCTTCAATCTGCCTAAAAAACCCGATTCTGGGCAAAACACGGCCGTGTTTTACTTTTGCCCGCCCGTGTTTTGCCTTCAGCAGCGCTCGTCGGCCAAAACACGATCGTGCCTAAATATGGACACGACCGTGTTTTTCTTTAGGCGCGCCCGTGTGTTTACTGCCGAACCTGTTCCCCTATATTCAATGCTTCGTTTCTCCCTCGTCCGGACTTCGAATCAGTCGTCGTTTGATCCCAGACGCTCGTAGTCTCGTCCTCTTTCTTTGCATGACAAACTTGCATGATTATTTGTCCATAAGTGTGGTAGAAATCCATTCTTCTTCAGGTCATGCCTGAGTTTCTTCTCCCTCATCGCCAATTGATCTTTGATTGACTTGAAACTTGCGCCTATGCTTCACTTTATGTGCTAGGACCTGGAATGTGACAAAGGAAAACAACCTAGCGTAAAATAGGCCAAAGACGCGATAAGTAAAGCTCAAACGATCAAGAAACAAAGGGGAAAACATGTGCAAATATCGAGTCATCAAATCTCCTCACACTTAACTGTTTGCTTGTCCCCAAGCAAACCTAACTCAAACCAATGCAGCTCTCCAGACCTCTATAGAAACATACAACCCCGATCGTCGGTAGAGGATTTCCTAGATCATATAGCAGCTTACGAGGTCAACTGGTCTTCTAAGACGTTTCTATCTCTCTCAATGCGAGTACTAGACTCAAGCCAGGATCATGAGAAGAAGTAGAAGTAAGACAGTCAGTTCATGGATAAAGGGACTCACACCATTCACAACCAAGGACTCGTTGTACCGGGGTGCTCTTTCACTTCATTTCACCGTTGGAACCCCTTTTTCACTTTCATTTTACTTAAGACAGTCAGTTCATGGATAAAGGGACTCACACCATTCACAACCAAGGACTCGTTGTACCGGGGTGCTCTTTCACTTCATTTCACCGTTGGAACCCCTTTTTCACTTTCATTTTACTTTTTTTTTTCCTTTTTCATTCACTTGGCAGGGGGTTCCAACTGCAGTTTTTTGCACGGTCGACCCTTATTAGTCGAGCAAGAGCAATTTCTGTACATCTGGCGCTCGCAGAGTACTTCTTTTAACTCCTTTTCCTCAACTCGTGTGGAGGGTCAATGAAATTAGGGGGGTCAGAAGTTCTATCCGTGCCCTTAAAAACACATCCCCAAGTAGGCAAACCGTTCAACGGGTGGAAGTTTTACTTGTACTAGAGACAGCTTAGCTTCACCTTGTAGGAGTACCCAACTAAGGATCACTAAAATCTCTTCCAAAACCCGATTTTGTGCAATGAATGGTGCCGCACACGTTGGGCTTACCCCATGTTTAAGATTTAATGATTTCGACATGGAGGGTCAACTGCTTTTCAATTTTCACATGAGCACCCTGTTCGATACACGAGTCCATAACACAATCCAAACAGAGTCACCATTACCACATGAATTCAACGGTCTTAGCTCCACTAATTCACAAAATCAACTGGCACAGCAGAGAGCTAGATAGGAAAAATCTTATACTTCAACAACCTCCATAGTGCTACACTACCTCCCTAGGTTGCACATTACTATAGAGACTGTCAATTCAAAGCATACTGAGCATGAAATTTGCAAGGAAACACGTACTTGGAGCCCTCAAATTTAAAAATTTGGACAATGGACTAGGCTCCAAGCACACAAACAGCCAAACGTTCACCCGCATACATAATCGAACATCCCCCCACACTTAAGCACGACATTGTCCTCAATGGAGGAAATATAAGGAGGGTAGAACGAAGTTACCAGATCAAGGGTGAATGAGGGTGGACGAGGCAGGTGGTGCATTCTAGGAGGAGAGAGTAGTCAGAACACAAACACCACATAAAATCTCACAAAGGTTGAGTTATTGACTCTAAAATCAAATAACAAAACTGACTCAACCGAGGAGAAATAGAGAAAGAAATACAAACCGACTGGTTGGGTTGCCTCCCAACAAGCGCTTCTTTTATGTTGTGAGCCAGACGATAGTTCCTAAGTTTCGGTCCATCCCAAAACCTCCTTGAAGTTGAGGTTCTCGTCAATGAGGTGGAGTCTCAAGTAACGAGCATGTGGTGTGGCAGGTGATGAAGGCTCATGCACTTGATGCAGATGAAGTCTCCACCCTCGAGACCTCTTCTTCTCTTCTCTCGTCTCATTGCCCCAAACCAGATATGACAGCATCGATTGGTCACCATCGCGTCCACCAAGAGGAACCGATGTCGATGTGGCCTTGTTCTGGCAAAGAGACAGTGCAAATGGGTCCTTTCTAAGCAGTTCCTCGAAGTTTGGTGGGGATATTACTTGCAACTCATGGCCGGTGCAATCCTTGCTTGCTCTTCTTCTTCTAGCACGGATTGGAGAGCAAGTTGCCAAGCAATTTCTTTCATGAGATCTTCTTGTGTCTCCTCACTCATGCCCGCCTCTTCAAAGCTCAGTTTGGGATGTGGGAACGCGTGGTCGGCTAAGACAGGACATTCCTGATCATGATCATCACGGGAGCTCTCCGTGACAACTTCAATGTGCTTCACAATGTCCTTGTAGTCTTCTTCTTCCTCCTCCTCTTCTAGTATGGTAGCAAGAGGGTGATCTTGAGCAAGTTGTGCACAAACTTGCTCAATCCCCTCTGGTTTCTTTGATGAGTGCGAAACAATCTCCTCCGATTCACGGAGGGATGAAGAGTCAGGAGGAGCAAAAGATGAGAAAAGGAGGTCCATCTTGTGATTGCGTCTCTCGGAGTCCTGAGCAAACTACTCCACGAGAAGCCTCAGTTCATAGTTTGGATCTGGCTGTGGAGTGTAGCATGGCTCTGCAAAATGGCCCGTGAAGGCCGCCATGGGTAACTCCAGCGGCGATGGCCCTTCTGGTTGTGGGAGAAATTCTTCTTGATAATGAGGTTTTTCTTGATATGCCCAGGGGTCTGATTGTTCTCCGTAGTAAGGGGGTTGGTACTGGAACCCGAATCCATAGTCTTCTCCTCGTTGATTGCTCCAGGGAGTCTCGGGGTAATACCACTCGGATGGTGGTGGATACCCCCAATGGTTGGAGAAGCCATGAGGATCCATGATTCAGATCTACACCAACAAAAACAAAAACAACCAATTGAAAAGCAAGGGAGAAAAAAAAAAGAAAAACGCTAAAGTAACAAACTTGTGCCTTACCTAATAATCTAGAAAGTCCCCGGCAACAGCGCCAAAAACTTAACTCGCTAGGACACAACTCCTAACAATGGCCAAGTGTAACCAATGAAAGGGACTGCAGTATAGTGGCTCGAGTAATAAATATTGAATCCATGGGTCTCTAGAGTTACTATTACTCAGCTTCAGTTTATTATTTAGCAAACCAAATTAATAAGGAAGAACTAAAACTACTCTAGCAAACTACAGTTAAAGTTAATCTAATTACAGGTTGGGAACTCACTTAGGTATGATTCCCCCTAGCCACTAGCCAGATTAATGATTGATGATCTCTAACCTGTTTCACTTTCATTCACAATGCAGAGAATCCTTGACTAGACCTTGAGTCTCAACTAAAGGAACAAGGCCCTCTTGAGTCAATTGCCTAGAGGGACGTACCCTTCTCTAGAACAACCGATCAAGGCGTTCTGAATTAGAATCCCTCTATCGAAAGAGGTTCTCAATCGATACAAAGCAGTGAATCAACCCTCGACTAAAGCAATCGATCCACTACTATCAATCTATGGTGCTCTATTGACCTAATCAGGTATTCGCTCTCATAGGATCAAAGCAGAATCAATAATCTCGACTAAAGCATAATTGAATCATGAAAACATGCATAGATTGAATATGAACTCAAGATTATCAAGTAAGAGTAATCATACAATCATCCAATCAAACAAACATAGCTAGTGTTCCTCAAAATCTAAGTGAGGGGAAGTTACTCCATAGAGAAGAGAGAGACTGCAGAAATTTGATCTAGATCTTCAATCTCCATCTCCAAGCTTGATTCCCGAGCTCCAATGATGAAGAAATCCTCCAAAATAGCCCCAAGAATGCCCCCAAGTCGCTCTCTCTCTCTAGGGTTCGTCCCTTGGGTGTTTTGGATCCAAAACCCAACTCTCCCTTTCCTTTGGCTTCAATCTGCCTAAAAAACCCGATTCTGGGAAAAACACGGTCGAGGACTCGGCCGTGTTTTACTTTTGCCCGCCCGTGTTTTGCCCCCAGCATCCCTCGTCGGCCAAACAGTCGTGCCTAAATAAGGACACGGCCGTGTTTTTCTTTAGGCGCGCCCGTGTTTTTACTGCCGAACCTTTCCCCTATATTCAATGCTTCGTTTCTCCCTCGTCAGGACTCCGAATTGGTTGCCGTTTGATCCCAGACGCTCGTAGTCTCATCCTCTTTCTTTTCATGACAAGATTGCCTGATTCTTTGTCCATAAAGTGAGCTAGAAATCCATTCTTCTTCAGGTCATGCCCGAGTTTCTTCTCCCTAATCGCCAATTGATCTCTGATTGACTTGAAACTTGCGCCTATGCTTCACTTTAAGTGATAGAACCTGAAATGTGACAAAGGACCACAACCTAGCCTAAAATAGTCCAAATACGCGATAATTAAAGCTCAAACGATCAAGAAACAAAGGGGAAAACATGTGCAAATATCGAGTCATCAATCGGCAAATAAAATATGTGAGATTTGAGGACCTATTTGGCTACTCTCAATCCATGAATGCTCCCTTTGTCCAGAGCTTTTATTGTAAACGTCGATAAGCCCTCCACACGAAGTAGGAACATGATGGGGATATTAAGATCCTCCTTTCCTTAGTCTATGAACCGGTTTAAAATTTTATGTTTTTATAACCATTCTCCAATATTGAGTAAGACCCTGTGGTGACACTTCATCACGAGTTTTACCCAGTACTCTGCAAAACCCAAATTCATCATCATAGCCTCTAGGAAAAGCTGATCTATCCTGCCATAGGCTATTGATATATCCAACTTTGCTGACACCCAACCTTTCTTCACCAGCATTTTGTGCTTAATTATGTTAAAAATACTTGAAAGCAGCAATGATATTGTTTGTAATGTGTTTGTCCACCAAAAAGGCGCTATGGTTTTCCACCACCGCTACTTTTAGGATCGTTTAAGTCTATATGCTAGTACTTTCGACATAATCTTGTAAAGGACCTTATATAGACTGATTACTCTAAAGTTTGCTGAGATTTCTAGTTTTTGTTTTGGGGAGTGGGTGATTAGGGTATGATTGAGAACATGTGGAAATTCTAAAGTTTCTAAATACCCTTGCAGTTTGTCTATCACTGCTTATCCTAATACCCTTGAGTTTTTAGGGAAGAAAAGAGCTATCCAATAATCTCATGGAGCTTTTGTTGGTCACGTTCTCTTAATGCATCGTGCTCTCTCTAAATATTTCCTGTGTATCAGTACTGCATTTGTTTTCTTCATTTTGTTTAAAATTGTCAGTACTTTTTTCTATTTTTTTTTTCCTTTTGGTCTTTAGTGACCCACAAGTTTCCTTGCTCGAGTTATTTGGTATTGTCTCACATCATATTATAATATCCATTATCGATGTCTGGGACCGAGCATTCAGCCCTTGATTCACTACTTTACTGCAATCCCCATTTTTGCCAGTAGGGTTCATAGCAAAAGGCTCAACCCCATTGTATAGGTTCATGTGGCAAAGCCAACTCCACAAGAATTAGCAGATTTTCTCATCAAAATTTGTCTAAATGATACTTGAGCATTTGAATATTAGGGTTTTCATTCCATAGTTGCTACAGCTCCATCGAACCTTTCTTCAATAAAACTATCATCGACTCTCTCATTTCCCACATAAAGGTGGGGCCAAAATAGCCATGGTCCAGTAAATCACATTCTTATAATAATACTATTAATTATTCCATGTCCCTCATGTCAAGTCCTTTGCTCCCATTCTTCTCCAGATAGTTAGTTACTTGGTTGAAATCCCTCACACTCTTCTCCATATATCCAATGGAGATTAACTTTCTATTTTAGATTTTGCATAATCTTGCAAGTCTTCCATTTTTGTCCATTTTCTTGCCATCCATACACACCAGTGGGCCTCGATGGAGTTGTAACATCCCGAACCTTTTCCCGACGAAGATATTGTCTGCTTTGGGGCTCGACCTTCACGGTTTTCAACTTGGGGTGCAATTCAGGGTGACTTACCATCAGGTCACCCATCCTTGTTGTGCTCCACACTGAGCACGTTTAACTTCAGAGTTCTCACAAGAACTTATCCATTACACCCCAAACGCGTCTTGTCCGTTAAGGTCGGTTTCCTACTTATGAACCATGGATCTCTCCCGTGCTTTGTCGATGTGGGATCCGCCTAAGGTTTTACATACACCCCCCTTGGGATTCAACCCTCTCACTGAGGTTTGCCCCTCCATCATTCAAGAGGGACGCGGAGAGGCTCTGATACCACTTGTAACATCCCGAACCTTTTCCCGACGAAGATATTGTCCACTTTGGGCCTCGACCCTCACGGTTTTCGACTTGGGGTGCAATTCAGGGTGACTTCCCATAAGGTCACCCATCCTTGTTATAATTTCGTATTGAACGCGATAAACGACCATATAGGTGATCTTTCAGAAAATGTTAAACCAATGTCTTCCCCCACATCTCTGTCAGTTTTACTTTTTATTGTTATTTCATAATCCTTAGGTTTGATGCTTTATAACTTCGCAGTTACAAGTCATTTTCTTTTTACTTTTGGTTAGTGGCATTTAAGGAAAAATCAGGCTTCAATTTTTAGGCTTCTTCTTACCTGTAAGAGTCTCACTATCGTTACCACCATTTTTAGTACTACTAAAGCTAATCCCTCATGTTTCAGTGCATTAAGCTCATAAATGTGTTTATTTGAAAATATGATGGTTTATCATAGTTCAATAAAGATTATATAGTGTGTCCTCTTGGACTATGCTATGTATGTATGATCTTTTCTGTTTCATAGGGGATCTTGGTCGTTTATTTATAATTATAGAATTAACTAATTTGGTATTAGGTCTAGGGTTCTAGCTATATCACAAGCTCATGTCTCTATGATCTCAATCTTTATTTACTTGAATGATGATATATATCTCCATCAAAATGGTTATTTACTTGTAATTGGCCAAAAGCGTGGAGGGAGTTTAGAAGCATCACGTATAAGTGAAGCCAACACTGCCTCTTGTCAAACGTAAGAAGTAGAAGTCTTTTAACTTGAACTTAACAACCAATTAGTTTTTGTTGTCTTCCAATGAATAATTTTCCCGGCCTTTACTTCCACCATTCCCCCAACTGGCTTGATTGAAATAAATAATTATGAATGTACAAAGTGACTCAAATCTATGTGAAATAAAGGAGGCATTAAGCTCATAATAGGTTGAATGATTAATATCTTCATCACAAGGGATTGGAGAGATGGGAGGTTTCACGAGACTGTGCTAGGAAAACATATTTATTGTTTGGGGCGTTTCATAGGAGTTCCTAAGTGTCAAATTCCGGAAAAAAATGCGAATGTACGGGGAATATTTCAGGATGTTATGCAGGGACATCCTATATTGTTGAATACAGCACCTACTCTACATATATTAGGTATTTATGCATTCCATCCTGTTTTTGCCGAAGGAGGCTAGTTTACTTATGTTTTCTCATATGAATATCTTATCTCCAGCTATTGTCTATCGCACCTCTCTCATTTCAATGCCAACTCAGGATATGCTTATTGGGCTATGTATATTAACAAACGGGAATTGTAAGGAGATTTTTGCAAATAGGTGTAATCCTTGTTCACATAATTGAGAAATTAATGAATTCTCATGAATAACAATATGTATAGAAAGGAAATCTTGTGTTGTCACTCCTATCATGCACTTGAAGCTTATTGGTAGACAAAAAAAAAACTTGATAGTCCTTTGTGGCTCGGGTGGAAACTACATCAACCCGTCATTATTTCATATAATTATCCTACCTAAGTGAAGAAGAGTATTTAGGACCCTCGATGTCCATACTAAATTGCAAGGGAAAAGAAAATCATGGAGATAATTAAGTTTGATAAGTTACACAAGGAACAAGTTGGATCCCCACACACAAAAGG